ATATTAACTGTTAAATCAACGAATGCCAGCGGGTAATATTCTTTGAACTGCTACAGTGTTTACGACACATCCTTTCATTAGACTTCAGTGGGCATTGCTTGGTATTGACGTCGATTTTCTCTGATGTGAATGCCCCTCGAATAAAACGATATCGAATATCGATATAATCCGAGAGTGATGAATGGGAGTTTTTCGTAACTTCTTTGCTAGTGAATTGTTTTTATATAAAGTAACGGTATTTTTCAAATCATTATTTACCTTAGTATCTTGTAATAATCACTTAATAATTTATATTCATTTTATAAGTAATTTGAACGTCTTGGCAAGTTGTCGTTAACGGTCTTTTATAAGCGTCATACTAACTTTACTCATTTTTAACAGACTTTAAGGATACTTTATCCAATTTAGTTCCGCATTCCGAGAAGTTGGTGTGTTAATGTGATTATAACGTTAACGGTTTTGGTGTCGCTGGAGGTTACAATAATCGTTTCTTACCTACAATCAAATTTACATCTAAATGTTTATTATCCTAAGGCGCATCCTAACATATTACGTTACAGCGATTTTAATAACTTTAAGTTGAACTAATTTTCTGAAGTTCCTTCAGTTCAGCCTTGGCTTGTATACTTAGCTTTTTCGAAATGTGTTCTTGTAATGTACTCAAGGCTAAAGAAATATTCATATCTGGTGGTATCACCATATTCAGATTTTGTTCTATTCTTCTTAAAACTTCAAAATTTACTTCAGGGGTCGACATTGACTGTTTACTTCTATTTTTAGTATTAATATAAATTCTTAATCGAATCATGTACTCTTCTAAAAGTCTTTTAATAATCGTCTATGAGAATTTTGAAAATAATCTATCGGATGGAACTACACACTCGCTTTAAGCAAATATACAAGAAAGCTGTTGGTGAAGGCTTAGCTTAGAACATTTTTACTTGTTTTGACGTGTATAGAGTAGGTTGGTAGAATTTTTTAGACGTCAAACAGCATTTATTGTTGACCATCCTGGTTTCACCAAAGTCTGTTAGTTGTAGGTTGATTTCTACTCGTAGAATTCTTTTATGGAAGCTGAAGAAAAGCAAGAAACTTTAATTTCATTATCATTTCTTTGCAGTTACTTGATAGTTGAGATTTTTATATCATCATTCGTGAATGTGGCTTAAATTGATAGTTTTTACAATATATTTAACAAGTGAAGATTTTTAATTTGAAGTAGATGATAGAGTGTGATTTGTAACATAACATAGTCTGAGTTTTATCCTGCAACATTCGTTGTATTTTAGACTCTTCAATAATATTCTTCAAATTTATTCATCTACATCTGTATGAGTTATTATGGATTTCTTTGGCAAGGTTCCTACACCGTTTGTTATTAAAGATATCTTTCTTTGTTTGTCATAAACCTTATTTTAATTCAAATAAAACAATTATGTGTGTTTAAAAGAGGCATGTAGTATTAATACATGTTTTCTGTGAGGATAACAAAACTGTAGCAATTGTGGATTCTTGGAGGTCTTGTTCAAAACCTGAGCAAGACTCTACGAGCTACGCTAAGTCAATGTGGTGCTTCACTTTGAGAAATGTTGACGTTACATTCTTCTCTTCGCATCTGTAGAAAAGCCTGCGTTGTTTAAGCAAGATTGTTAACCTTCGACAAATTTTAAATTATCGTCCCCGTAAAGGTTCAAAGGGAAATTCAAATTGCGTCAAGGTCGAGGTGATTAGAAATAAAAGAAACTTTTGTGTTGTATCGCGCGTCTATTATAACAATATTTGGTGTTTCGGATATCATGTTAGCCTTCTTTAGAAGTTTAAAAGTGCAAATTTAGCTAATAGATATTTTGAAGACACAACATTGTATTAACGACATCATATTGATGTCACCAATATTGGACAAAATTTCTTCGGTGGCGTTCCAAAAACTAGTGAAAGGTAACTCCTCCACTTCCCCCCAATGATATAAGCATTTGTCACTGAAGAGAAAAGTCATTCTGCTGAGCTATTCTACCAATCGTTATGCAATGCTACAAATTTACCTTCAACATGTCTCCTTTGAATATCTTGAAATCTTTTTAATTCACAATTTTACAAGTTAATGATTTTGACAATAGGTAAGGAATATGGCTTTGTATATCCTCACTTTAATCTCGGTAGATATGCAGCTGTCTGTCTAGATGTCGTTCTTAGTGTTCTCCTTATTCTGACTGACTTGTTGGCATGTTTTTTCCATTATGGTTAAGTTGTCCATAAGACGATATGTTTACATTCAAAGAAGAGTAATCTGTTGCTTGATCTATTATGTGGCCGTTCACTTCTACAGGTCCTTCGTTCTGTAGTTAACATCTACGTGGTTCTCTTTGTTTCCATTCACTCATATTTGCTTGTGGCACTCGGACAGAACCCTTCATCCACGGAGGAAACTTTATATTATGGTGCTATTACGATAAATAAACAATAAACAATCAAACCAATAACAAACAATTAAGTAACTAGTGTTCTTTGTAATAAGTACATAATTCTGTAAACAAAATCTGTGTAAGTTTTAACTTTAAAATAAATAACTCTGTTTTGAATACAATGGCTTGTATATTATGATTAAATAACGCTAGTGTATAAGTCATGCACCACGATAAAATAATAATGGTAATAACGAACAACAAATGAATAAGTGATGATGCTCACATTATTCCATCACACGCAATGTATGATTGAAGGTATGACTGATAGCGCTTCTCTAGCTATTACCATAGTTTTTGTTTTTTTTGGAATATTTATCTACATGTTGACATTTTCCGCCGGTATTTTAAAAGCATGTAGTAGCCGTTGTAGTTCATACTCTATGTCTGCAATGAATGTTGTGTCGTCCGCGTAGTATATGATTCGTCGTTTCTTATCTTGTATCCTGTCAAATGCTTTCGTTAAATGTAAAAAGTATAAACGTAGAGTAAAGTATAAACGTGCTGGTTTGTTATAGTTTATTACTGTTTTTCCTACCTGTTTAAATGCAAAGACCGCGTCGAATAGTTGGCCTGTTTTTCTGAAACTCCTGTTGTTCTTCGCTTGATTATGTACTGCAGAATACGGTGGAAACAGCTTTATGGATGTGTCTAGAAGAAAATTCCTCGGTAATTTTCTGGGTCTGAATTATTCTGGTGTTCCAGAATAGTGATCCTGTTCTGCAGCTTTCTGAAGTTTGTACATCCTGTATTATTTTATTATATAATATGTCCTTGAGTTTTTCTGCTAGTACTTCCTCTCCCCACTTCATCAGATTATGGGGGATACTGTTCGGAACTGATGACTTGCCGTTTTTTAGTTGTTTCATTAGCATCGTTACTTCCTGCGTTGTAAATTGTTTTATTTCTTCAACATCCTCAACTGGACTCTATTCAGTATTCAGTACCTTGAGAGTGGATGATGTTCTCTCATTATCTCCCTTACTCTGTTGTTTGTTCTGTTCCTTGTGTTTATGTAGCTGATACAATTTCTTAGAGTCTTGGTGGATTTATAAATTAAGTAGGTCTTTTTCCTGTTGAGTAAGTAGTTTTACATACTGCATTAGCATTGATGATCTTTGTGGCCAATGCTACTTGCTTTTTGTCTGCATGCATCATTTAACAAACCTCAATGAAGTAATGCCTCAAAAAAATTCTATTTTATAAAAATTCGTGCCAATGTTTTTACAAAAGGCGGTTTAATAAAGGCTTTGAAATCGGTTGAAAATACATTAAAATATCCTTTAAGTAATGTAACTAAACGGTTTTCTTGGATGTATATATCACTTTTAATTTACTAATCACCTTTGTACATTAGGCGTATTCGAGTTATTAAATATTTATACTTATAAATACTTAACAGGGGGTAGTTGTGTAGATAAACACTGTACTTATTTGTACTTAATAATAATATAATAATATTTAATAATAATATTTGTACTTAATTGTTAGTACAGTCCGAAAGTATTCAAAATAATATTGAATAAATAAACCTCAGGCTTGAAATTTTCATTTTTAGTAATTTATCGTTTACATCACAGAATTTCATCAAGTACTAAAGTCTCATCGTTTTCTTGGAAACGTTAAATTTAATAACATTTCTTGTGGCCCCTTTTGATTACTATGTCATTTCTAATTTTATATTATGCTATAGAAAAGTGGTACAATTTTGTATTTTAGTTTTAGCTTTAATTCAGAACTTATTGCTAAAAATAATCATACTCTTGTTATCCCCATTTTCTCGGTACATTTTTTAATCTTATATTTCTTTAGCATCATCATGCTTTATCCTAGCTTACTTTTCGATGAATTTTACACAAAGAAATAATTTCTTGATTATATTTCAATCGTTGTCGTTAATTTTGCATTTTTTAAGCAATAATAACTTTTACAAGATTCCTTTGTTTCTAATTGATTTATTTTTGGTACCGAAATAATGAGGCCATAACTTTTTGCGAATATAGAATTGAGATTAATTATTTGTTATAACATGATCTTGATTTAATTATTTATTTATAACCACCAATAATAAGATATTTCCTCTCACTATATCCGATATATTTTTATAACTTTTATAGTCGATTTCATAACTCAATGACAGTATGATATTAACGTGTATATTAACGCTGACATTTATAGCTTCATTTGAACATAGAATTATTACATTAAAATCAATTAAGTTTTCCATTATTTAGGGTTTCAGACGTACTTTGTTACTTCAAACAAATTCTTTATTATTGCTTTATTTTTTTTTTACACGTTAACTTCAATCTTTTATAAGAGTCGTAACGATCAAAACTATTTTTGAAACTTATTGTGCTTTCGTACTTTGACATTGAACTTGTTTTCGTACCTTTCCATAAAAAGTCTTCTCACCTATCGCAAGGTGGAAGAAGAGTGTTGGTTGTACGCGGAACAGAGTGGGTGGGGGCGTTTGGACGTCGGGCGTCGCGGCGTTCCTCAGTGGCGTCGCGACGCCCGCTGCGATCATGAGGCGCCCGCGTGAGTGAAGTGGTCGCGAGACATGGCATCCTCGAGTAGATATAGTTCGTACAACTGTTTAACTAGTTGGGACAGTTACGATAGGATCCCTAGGTAAATTACTCCTGTATTTAAACTTGACAAAGTTCATTTATAAATGTAACAATTTCTTTAAAATAACAGTTCTAAAACAAAAACAGTTTTAAACAAACACATTGTTTTGAAGAAGTTTTTAAATTTATTTTAAATTTTGTTATTATTTTAATTCCTAAGGGATATTGTTATTGAAATCAATTATAAATACTTGTTATTAGTTGAGATAATTTTTAACAAATTTAATTAAAATTCTCGAAACAATACATGCAGTTTAATTAATTTTGCGTAGCATTTACTATAAACTGTCGTATTATATTCACAAATCAAGCGCACATCGGAAGAGTCGTAATAACGTCATATAACTATATTTATAATTTAATTAACTTAAAAGCTTTTGTATTAAGAACATTTTTTGTATTAATTAGCTTTGTGATGGTTTCGTCCAATGAAATGTTTGTTAATATCTTTTTGTTAACATGCGACTTTTTAAATTAACGATTTTAAATTAAAATTTCTTTATTTACTAACGATCAATATACATACATATAATATATGTATCTTCATATTTATGTTATACATTTCTACTGCATACTATAAAAAGTTAATTTATTTCGTATCTCTATTGAAAGGTCAGGTTCAATAATAATAAAATATCCTCTACTTGACATTCTGATCGAATACCAAACATTCGAATCTTTCCCTCGACCACAACGCATAAATTCTTTTTCGCGTTTGTGACTTATGCGCTCAGTTTTTGCTCGAAAATATATTCAATTTAGTAAAATCGATTTTTTAAAGTAAGTTCGAATACATAGTTTCTCCTTAGTACCTTGATCCTTCGTTTAGAGTGTTTTTTTTGCATCTACTATTAAATTTAGTTCCTTACTCGATGTTTCATTATTCCCACCGAGTTGTTAGCTGTGTCATTACCATTTATATTGTCTTCTGGCATTCATAATAATGAAATTTTATTACGGTGGACCAATTTCATAAGGTTTTCATGTCGTTCCCTGTGGTCTTAAACATATTGTTATTACGAAATGCTATCTATAATTATATTGTTCGTGTGAAACCAACTTCAAACTTCAAACAATGTATACGTGATTAAATCATGCTTTATTTGTGTTATTTCTTACTAGCAAACCATTAATTTTAGAAATGGCATAATAGAGCTGTATAAATTTGCCTATGGAGGTGTCATATAAAACATTTAACATAAAAGGTTTTAAAAAATTACCTAAAGGCTTTGTGATAAACGAAGTTGTTTTCTTCATATATTGGTTATCTCCCCCTTCACACAATCTTTCATCTGAGAGAATATGCATTCTAAGTTTTCCTGTTTCGGAAGAACTGTCGTCGAAATCATACAAAAGCAAATCTTTTTTAAAGCATAGGCTTACATGTGCATCTGACAAAGGATAATCTTCTTCATATATTTACAAATATTGCAGTTCTCTTTGTGCAAGAGGACGTTTTCTCTCAGAACTTTACGTCTTTGGCTGAAAAAATTGCCTAAATGTTATTTATTGTTATTCCCTTCTTTATGTCTGTTTTGTAGGGTGTTTGATAATAAATATCGAAAAAAAATCTACGTAGCTAATTGTTTAAAAATTAGTATAATTTGGGACATTTCGGTGAAAAAGCTAATAATCGAAGAACACTTGAGGAACAAATTGAACCATATATACTAGACTGCAATGTGTAAACCAGTTTTGGGTTGATATGATATTAATCATAAAGCCTTGTACGGCAATGATCTCGGCTTAATCAGGTAAAATCCTACATATATTTCGATCATGATCAGGCATAATCGTAGATTCACCTTGACTCTGCCTTAAGTTTGACCCAAACTGGTCAAAAAGCTGCGTTTTGTTCTTTTCTCGGTAATAAAACGAAAGTCTCACTCCAAAAATTTTTCTCTCTTAGATCAATTTGTGTACCTGACCTTTATCTAAGGGGTTTAAATTTATTAGAACATTGCAGTTTATTGCAGGAACCAGTTTTACAGTGACCTTTTAAAGGTTGTAAAAACTGGATTTTCAAAACAATTGTAGTCGTGCTTTGTTCACCATGAACTGCTGGCATCACCCACGTTTTGTCTGTAACCCTTGTCGATGATTATTACCGAAATTAGTTTTTTTCCTATATCTTCGTAGATAACCCCTTCAAATCTAACATATGTTATTTTTAAATTCTGATCTTGTTCTTATCTTAAACTCTTTATAAATGTCTTTGTTGTTATCGCTTTCAAAACATTTCTATTAAAGTCCATTATTGAGTGGTAATTCATATGTTAATAATTCTGCTATTTGAAAGCATCAAATAATTTTGGACAAAAGCGGTCGCAATATTTTAAAAAATTTGTTACTGAAAACGATCAACTTTTTTTGCGCCGAATCTTTATTATATGTAGATCATAAACTCTATAAAAAAATAACTCGTAATTACTAATTATAATAGTAACGAAAATTTGCATATTAATCTCATTCATCATTTTGTTGTCTATTTTTAAACCTTGTATGTCTTTTTTGTGGGTGCAGAACGTACATCATTCCCACACGTATCGACCCAGACTCATCGTATTTCGCCAAGTTCCATATATTCCTAATTCTAACTGCCGTCGTTCGAGGAATATTTTAGGTATAACGGCAGCGAAGCTGAGTTTGGAGTATTTGTAGCAATTGCATTTATTCTATCAATATACTATCTAAATTGATGCGAGCGATTTTAAGGGGGGTCTTTCATATAACTTTTTGGACAAAACCCTTTCTCCTCCAAGTTATAGCCCTCTAAAGTTAAGGATAAAAATCTGCAACTTTCTTATCTCTTGACATTTTACAACCAACAAATTGTTAGTTTGGTCACAAAAAATAAAATAATACTGAGATTAATTTGACTTAAATTCATTTCTTTGACTAAAAATAACCAATCTCTGAATTAATTCACCTGAGCCTGTGTATTATTTTATTTTTTTGTGATCAAACTAACAATTTTAGGAGAAAATGTCAAGAGACAAAAAAGTTGCGTATTGAATTCCACTATTTAAATCAAGTTTTTAAATACAAAGATGTAGACGTATTAAAAAGTTCTAATGCAAAGTATTATGGGGTTGATTTTTTTATTCTCTTGTAAAAACGTATTAGGGTTATAAAAATCGTCAAAAAATGTCACCTTATTAGTAATAGTAAGGCCAAATTTCATCCTTCCAAATTCCTCCATAGTGGATTTATTAAAGAAAAACAATTTTTTCCCGTAATTTTAGAGGGCTGTAACTTGAAGGAGAACTTAATTTTCGTTGAAAAATCACCCGTTAAACTCTTTCGCATCAATTTAGATACACCATGTATAGAAAATAATCTAATTTTTGGGAGATTCCGTGTAATCTACATAGTGACATACTCAATTCTTGTATATACAAGAATATTAAAAATACCTGTATTTCTATAAGATTCATTCTTTTTTATGTATCATTATGTGTTTTAGAGAGCTTGTGAATACTTGTATATTGGTGAATGTGATATTCGTGAATAGTGTTGTAAAAATCGTTTGAAAAAAATGTTTTACTTACTATGTTTCGTGTTAAAACTTTTGAGTTCCTCATTTACACCAGGAAAATGATCTCTCGATTATTCTTATTTTCTTGATTTTTATGGGGTTACTCATTTCAATATCATAATTTGTATTCGATATATATTGCAGCGTTTTGTTGGTTTCTTTTTGAACTTTTTGTGTGTGGATGCTACCCAAGTCTATCTTTCTTTTAAAAATGAGCGCGTGCAAAGCGAAACTCTGATTCTGTTAATTTATTTAAATATTTTAATATTGGTAATCCATCACTCAATATAGCAGAGACTAAAATGATTTTGTTACCCTTTGATATTTTTCAATGATCATCTATTAGAATTTTGGGATTAATTTTCTGTCATTGCGGTTTGATATTCACGTCAATAAAAACCAATTTTTTTGCATCGTTGAAGTGCATTTTTGATATAATCTTTGAATATCCTAATGTGGTGTTATTTTGTTTTACCAGGGGCGGCGCTACCGGGGGGTGCAAGGGGTGCATTGCACCCAGGCGCCGCCAAAAAGGGGGCGCCGGCGCCTTTTTGATAAGTTGTCCACTGTTGAGAAGCTATACCGAAATATTTAATTAGAAGGCAAAAACGTTATCATTTTTGTTTAAATTGAAATTGTGTGAATTTCCCGCACCTGGGCGCTTCATTAGCTAGCACCGGCACTGTATTTTACTTTTATATACACGGCTTGTAGAACATGGCTTTACATGAACTTTACAATGGCTAAGACATAGCGAATACATAGAGTATAGCGCTGTTTGCCTCAGATTAAATTTAAGTAATGGGGTACACATACATACCACTACTCTTAGTTAAATTGGTTGAATGTGAAGAACAAGTATCAATTGCATTTTATGTAGATTTCATAAATAACATTAAGATCCACGTAAATGGTTTATAAAAATAATCACTGGCGATACGTGATATTAACAGATTAATTCAGTCGATGAATGCAGAGTAGTCTAACTAGAATAGGTATATTCAGATCGGTAGTGGTGTGTTCCCAGTTATCTTGCAAATATAGATGTCATCGGGTTTTTTATGGTATCAAGTGACTAATAATATTACAATCGAGTACTAAAGCTCTTATTTCAACACCTATTTCAGCAATTCCAGTGTCCTCACAGCTCTTGTATAAAAAAGTGAGCATTCAATGCAATGTTTCTAGTTATTTTAATTAGGGTTGTACCTAAAATATGCAAACTTTTCTCACATTCGATTTTTGAATAAGTGAATAGTTCGCAATTTCCAAACTTTCACACAGACATGTTTATACCATAAGTTTAGAGTCGCGAAACGTCCGAACGACCGTGTTTAGTAGTAGAGGCTAGAGATATACCAGGACTATACAGTTCACGCTTGCCGCTAGCTTACCTTTGTGTTTAGTATTTGAGTGTACTCTATTGTTTCTATTCTATACGCGTTTAATAGTTTGACAATTTG